TATGATTATACAGCTCCTTGTGAAAATGGTGACATCAGACTAGTTGGTGGTACTGATCCATTGGTGGGAAGAGTAGAGCTATGTGTTAATAAGACCTGGGGTACTATATGTGATGATTATTGGGATGACAACGATGCTAGTGTTGTGTGTAGACAAGTTGGTTTTTCTGCAGAAGGTAACCTATAGTGAAAACTTAATCATACTTTATCAAGTGATAATAGGGGCTAGAGCAAGAAGTAGTTCATACACAGAAAGGCTCAAATCATTTCACATTGTTGATTTACATTGCAATGGAACTGAAGAAAACCTGTTTGACTGCCCTCATAATCTTGTTCAGCTGTACAGCTGTAGTTACCACAAAGATGCAAATGTACAATGTACAGGTATTATCATGATGATAATCTAATACAACAGGCGATTTTATATTTAATAGCCTCTAATGCGAGTACCAATTGCACTACTGGTCATGTTAGATTAACAGGTGGTCAGTCCCAGTATGTTGGTTTAGTTGAGATATGCTATGGAGGAGTTTGGAAATCAATATGTCCTAGAGGGTGGGATAATCGTGAGGCACAAGTTGTGTGTAGACAATTAGGATTTACTTCTGTTGGTTAGTTGCTCATATGATGTATTGTAATGTTACTAATCTTTTAGGTGCTGATTCTATTAATGTTGGAAAAGGTTTTGGTCCTTTGCATTCATCATATTTTAACTGCACTGGAAGTGAAGCTGCCCTACTAAACTGTAGTTATTACACTTCTTCCTGTTACTATTCATACCATGCTGGAGTTGAATGTGAATGTAAGTATAACCTGCATCTGTTGTTCCTAAGTATTACTTATACTTAGCTCCTTGTATTGAGGGGGCTGTTCAATTAGAAGGTGATAATAAATATAAAGAATTTGGTCGAGTTGAAGTATGTATTAATGGAACTTGGGGCACCATTTGTGACAATGGTTGGGAAAATAATGATGCCACTGTAGTATGCAGACAGCTGGGATACTCTCCTTATGGTAAACATTACTGTAATCCTTTCCTTGTGTTAACAATGCAATAGGAGCTATAGCTAAAGCCTCATATTTTACAGAAGGTTGGCTACCTTTTCATCTTTACAGTGTGAATTGTAGTGGCAATGAAAGTACACTGCTTAACTGTTCCTACTCAACTACTGGAACTTGCTACAACATTCAAGATGCTGGAGCCATTTGTCAAAGTTAGTTTGTACTCTTGATATTACATATTGCTTGTTTTATCAAAAATAATAATTGTATAGGTGTGGGTGTTGCATATGATAATTGTACTGATTATACAGTTCGCTTGGTGGATGGAGCAACTGCAAGAGAAGGAAAAGTTCAAATATGTCTGAATAGGGTCTGGGGTGCATTTTGCAAAAGGGACAATAGTAATTATAATGTGGATGCTAATATCATCTGTAGAGAACTTGGATATAACACTGGTTAGTTTAAAATGTCACAGTCTATAAATTTTATTATCCTTGCCCCATTATTC